AGAGACTGCAGAGAATCTATTCATAAACATACTTGTGCCCATTCCCATGTATTAGTTTAAAAAACCGATCTGTTGTGGTGTAAGTTACCCAACAAAATGTGACCACTACGAGTGCACAGCTCAGTCAGTGATCTCTGACCAAGTTGCTGAGTGGTGCAGCCTTCGGCATCATCTAGTTTGGGAGCACTGCCCTCCCTTCAGGAAGATCTCCTGTGTTAGTGCAGCACAGTTTCCCAGGGGTCCCACCCCCAGCCTCAGTTGACCACTAATGCATGCATGCTATGGATGTGCCCTCTCTGGACCTTTCATTGCACTAACGCATGCATGCTGTGGATGTGCCCTCTCTGGACCTTTCATTGCACTAACGCATGCATGCTGTAGATGTGCCCTCTCTGGACCTTACATTGCACTAACGCATGCATGCTGTAGATGTACCCTCTGGACCTTTCATTGCACTAACGCATGCATGCTATAGATGTGCCCTCTCTGGACCTTTCATTGCACTAACGCATGCATGCTGTAGATGTGACCTCTCTGGACCTTTCATTGCACTAACGCATGCATGCTGTAGATGTGCCCTCTCTGGACCTTTCATTGAAATGGAATCATACAGGATGTGACGTATGATCTCCCGTCCCTGCTTCTTTCTCTTTGTCTATTTTTGGTTGTGGTGTCTGACGAATTGGTTTGATATTTGGTGTCTGCCAAATTGATTGCATAAACTTCCAATTCTGGCTAGTGTTTTCACTTTGGGGCTTAAGATTCTGTTGTTCTTATCCTCCACCCCTTGGTTCTCAGGTGGTGTAGCTTCCTCAGTCCTTCCTCTGTAGATTTTTCTAGCGTTTCAGTCCTCTGCGTAGATGTATTTTCAGGTTCAATTAGGAGACAGGAAATAGCAGGGCAGTTTGAACAGAGAACGTTGGATGGTAAGAGTTTTAAACTCTATCAGGGAGTCGAGGTCATGGGAGAGCAGCTCCTAAGGAGTGAAGAGAATCACAGAGAACGCAGGATGCAGATGGCAGCCACTCTCCCGCGGGCTGTGATAGAGCAGCACCAGGCTGGATCCCAGGTCTGAGATCCAGGCTGCCTGGCAGAGGAGCTTCTGAAGTCACAGAACTGCCTTGGGTCGCATTGTGGATGCTGTCCGTAGGGAGAGGCCATGCCAGCAGCCTCCACTGGGAAGCTATTCTCAGTGCCAGGCAAGTGCCTTACCTCAGAACCCAGGCAGGGGTGGAAGGGCTAAGCCCGACACTTCCCATACAGCTCTCCCAGATGTGCTGCGGGACATGTTTGTGAGAGGAGCTGCTGAGCGCACTCTGCTGTGGCTCTGCTGCGGCACGCTTCCCGTCACTGTCCATGCACTGAGCCGTCCGCCTAGAGAGGAGCACAGCCAACTGCACAACAAACTCCGTCCTCCCCAGCATCCTCCCAGTGCCCTCTAGTGGCACTTAACTTCCCCCAGGAGATGTGTCTGAAGCACGGCAGATTGGGGGGTCTAAGGCAATAAATTGAAACCTAATATAATATATGCAAAAGGTTATTCAGGAAATATATTTTCTGATAAGTAAAATCTGTGTGAAGTTTGAGCTGGCTGGTTTTATGTCAGCTTGACACAAGCTGGAGTTATCTGAAAGGAGGAAATCTCAATTGAGAAAAATGCTTCCTATGGTCCAGCTGTAGGGCATTTTCTTAATTAGTGATTGATGGGGGAGGGCACAGCCTTTTGTGGGTGATGCCATCCCTGCCTGGTGGTCCTGGGTTCTCTAAGAAAGCAGGCCAAGCAAACCACAGGGAGCAAGCCAGTAAGCAGCACCCCTCCATGGCCTCTGCATCAGCTCCTGCCTCCAGGTTCCTGCCCTGCTTGAGTTCCTGCCCTGACTTCCCTCAGTGATGGGCTTTGGTGTGGAAGTGGAGGCCCAGTAGACCCTGTCCTCCCCGGTTGCTTCCCTCGTGATGTTTCATCACAGCAGTCGTAAAGTAACCCTAACTAGGATAAAGTTCAGAGTGAGCAATCGTTTCTCCTATTCTTTTAAATCAGTTTTTCACAATAATAGTAGTTCTCCACTTTACAGTTCTCCTCTTTGAGTTAGCAATTACAGAAAATTCACTGGGTCCCCGGATGTGTTGGAGATCACTTTACCTGCTAAAAGGAAAGTGAATGGGAACCATTATCAATATAGCCAAGTCAATTCTGAAGCTCACTTCCTAGGTTTCACTTCCTCTGTTTAAAAGTGTGTAGATTTTGCTGAGATGCCAGAGTATAGTCATTTCTTCCCCGATCAGCCCACCCACCCAGTAGAGCACCTTTCCCCTCATGTGACATTGTTTTATTGTTTGTTTGTCTTTATGTTTTTATTTTGTTCTGTATGTGAGAGCGGGTACATGCCACAGCATGCATGTGGATGTCTGAGGGCAACCATGTGGGTCCTGGGGTTTGAGCTCAAGTCCTCATGGCTGGCAGCAGGCCATCTTGCCAACCCCTGTTTTATATTTTATAACTTTCCCCAGTCGATAATAATTCCCTTATTCTATGGAAAGCATCAAAAGCACTTCAAATAAATTCTCTTGGGAAAATGTATTTGCTTTTAAAATACATTTGTGTTTGTTCAAAAGATTAAGAAGACTACCTCTTCTGTAATGTGTAACACTTTCTTTTATAACCTGGACCTGTATTATCAAAATTGCTTAGTTCCTTATTCAGGGATGTCTCTCTAGGATTTTCTTTCATTTCTCCCTGTCACTCCCAAGCAAGATGAAATTTGCAAAAAAAATTTTAATTGCTTTTAGGCAGTTACTTATTCTGGAACTACTCTCTTGAAAACTTTTATGTATTTGACAAGACAAGATTCATGTTCAACCCTAGCAGTATTTATGATCCCCAAATCAAGGATGCAGACCAAACAGTTGTGTGACATTTTTTATCCTCTTCCCCACCAACACTAGAGGCAGTAGGCTAGGCAGCTGGCACTGCTTTGGAATCAAGTTCAGACAGAAATGAGCACTTATTTGTCAAATAAAATAGCCTTTTTATAATTACTAGCAAAAAAATGGTTGATGTCTTGTTTTTTTTTTTTTTTGGTGTTGAAAATTGTGTGTGTGTGTGTGTGTGTGTGTGTGTGTGTGTGTGTGTGTGTGATTCCTCAGGTACCTTCCATCTTTTGAGAGAGGGTCCCTTACTGGCCTCGAACTTTGCCAAGTAGCCAGACTAACCAGCCAGGGAGCTCCAGCGATCCGCCTGTCTCTGCCTTCCATTTCACAAGCACTGGAATTACAAGAGTGCTCCATTATGTCCGTAGCATCCCCAGCTTTTTACATGGGTTCTGGGGGACTGAACTCAGGTCCTCATGCTTGGAAGGCAGGTGCTTTACCAACAGAGCCAACTCTCTAACCCGATGTCTTGTTTATTTAAAAAAAAAAAAAAAAAGCATATTAAAAGCAATTGAGTGCTTGCCTATCACAGTCAGGCCCCGGGTTTGATCTCCAGCACTTCCCCAAACAAGTAGCATATGAAAGCTGCATGAAGCTTGGAAGCCATTAGTGTGTGAGCAATATTATTTGAGTTATGCTTGTATCCAGAACTATGTATTAAATGCTGTAAAGCTCATTGACTTAGACCTAATCTCGTTTCCTCATGAGAGGTTTTGTAATCCAGTTGTAGAAACAAAAGAATCTATGTGCAGTTAAAAGCATGAGGCACAGTTGAACTACTCATGGCCAAGTGCAGAGTGAGGTCACGTAAACCCTGTGCTCTGCTGAGGGCCTCAGACACAGGAGATTGGTCACTGTCGGGACTAGTTAAGGAAAAAAGGCCCTCCTGCTGGCCATCAAAGGAAGTAAGAAATGAGATTATTGAAAAGCCTTTCCATGACTTGGCTAGGCCCTGATAGCTTCCTAGAATATGACTTCTGTGGCATGTGGGCCAGTGAGGTCTCTGGGGACTCAGGCCTGTCTTTGGAGCTGTGCTTTGGAAAGCCTCATTTTTCTGTCATTATACAGTAGATTTCTATAGTAACGATCATGCTGACAGGTCCTGTGGAAAGCTGGTTACCAGGCTTCTCCAGGGAGTCTCAAGCCATGGGGAAGTGCTCTTCCTCCTCCCTCAGCCACCAGACAGGAATGAAACCTTCCCACGAAACTTTAAAGATAGAGAAAGCATCGAATATTCAGGGGTAATGATGAGCAGTTAGACAAGCTTCCAACTCCGCAGACATTTAATAGGTAATGTCTATGATCCGAGTTTTGTGTTGGGTGATGATTCTTTCCTTAAAAAAGCCAGACAGAGCCCTTACCTGTTAGGTGCTTTCAACACATAATCCTCCTGCCTCAGCCTCTCCAGTGCTGAAATTACAGGCTACCTACCACATCAGTTTTGTGAGGATATCATTTAGGAAGCTTGAGATTTATTTGAAGGGGAGACTTAGTCATCCTTGTATGTGTGCCTGTATCGAGTGTATCCCCGTGTGCCTGTAGTAAGTGTGTCCTTGTGTGCCTGTAGTGAGTGTGTCCTTGTGTGCCTGCAGTGAGTGTGTCCCCGTGTGCCTGCAGTGAGTGTGTCCTTGTGTGCCTGCAGTGAGTGTGTCCCCGTGTGCCTGCAGTGAGTGTGTCCTTGTGTGCCTGCAGTGAGTGTGTCCCCGTGTGCCTGCAGTGAGTGTGTCCCCGTGTGCCTGCAGTGAGTGTGTCCCTGTGTGCCTGCAGTGAGTGTGTCCCCGTGTGCCTGCAGATCTCTCTTTCTCACTGTTTTACACCAAACCTGAATTTGTGTTTCCCCCTCGACTAGTGACCACTTTGACCTCAGTGCTCACATGATGTCACTAATTCAGCTGGTTGTGATGTGGATGGAGATGGACTGGAGTAGTGTGTAGAGCCTCACCTGTCCGTACCCTGCCTAGAGCGTAGCACCTAGCTGCCACCTTAGTGCTTAGCTGCAGTACCCTGTGATGGTCCCCGTACCTCCTCTTCCTTTCCACTTCCTGCTCCCCTTATCTCTGGTTTCCATGCAGATGCTGATATCAGGAGGAGTGCGGTCTCAAATGGCAAAGCATCCATCTCCCAGAACTTGTGAGTGTTTTTCATTCATTTTCATAACCTTGGGGTACATGGAGAAACGAACTCGGGTCACGGCCCGTGGTTGAGAAAGGTCACGGAGAAAGCCATCCCGTTTCAAGAAGAGGCAAGGTTCAATGATGGCCCCGCCTGGTGGTGTCCGTGCAAGGGGAGAAAGACCTCGTCTCTGAGAGGTGCAGTAGCAGTTTGACTGACCTACGTTAGAAACAGGCAGAGTGTCCGCTCTTCAGTGAAAGAAACTGAGCTTGAGAGAAAGGAAAATACAGAACTCTTAACTGCAGTGCCACCTGATGCTGGTAGGTGAGATAGGGCCTTGTCTGTAGTCTCAGGACAGTGAAGAAGAACAACAGTATTTTTTTCACAGTGCATGTGTGTCAGGCACTGAGTGAAGAAACGCAGCAGACTCTGGGTGCAGCTAGTGTTCCCTGAGCTCTCAAGTTCAGGCGTGTGGTCTCAGGCCCTGAAAGGAAGCGCCTGTCTTCCGACTTCGTGCCCTCAGCTCCCCTCCGTTCTCTCCTTCCCAGCTCCCATTGCTTCCTGCACTCCACATCTGCTGAGGCAGTGGCCATGGGGCTCCTGAAGCAGTTTGAGGGCATGCAGCTTCCAGCTGCCTCGGAGCTGGAGTGGCTGGTTCCAGAGCACGATGCCCCACAGAAGGTAGGCTCCTCCCACTCACTCTTCCCTGGGAGCCCAGGAGCCTGGGACTCTCTGGTCCTGTGTTCCTTTCTCACATGGCCTCAGTCTAGAATGAACCTGTGCGTCTGTCCTTATTTGTGGACACCGTTTGTGAAAGTGTGTTGAGTGAGTGAATGAATGAGTGAATGAGTGAATGCTTGCTTGCCTAGGATTTTCCTAGAAGTTGCTCCTTCACCGTCCTCTTCCATAGAAGAAAAACTCGTGTTTTGTGGCCAGCTTTTAGACACTGTGTGAAAGCGACTCATTCGAACTCTTCTTTGCTCTGTAGTTGAATCTTTTAAGGCGTGAGGCACGCTGGCATAGTAAAGGCCCTGGGAAGTATAGGGGCAGCATCAGCAATGGGTGCCAGCTCCCTGGAATGATGTTTCTATTTGCTTCTTGGAACTCAAGGTCCTTGCTTCTAGTAGCCTGGTACCTACTAGTTTGTTTTTAAATCAGGGTTCCTTGAATGCTCAGGCTGTGGTAATTCTGAAATGTGTTTCATTGTCTCTGCTTTTATCGTGGCCGGAAGGGCTAACCATATGCCTCCCCCAGACTGTCCAGGCCAGCTCACACACACTTTTCCCTGCAGCTCCTGCCTATCCCCGACTCACTGCCCATCTCACCGGATGACGGGCAGCATGCGGACATCTACAAGCTGCGTATCCGTGTGCGTGGCAACCTGGAGTGGGCTCCGCCCCGGCCTCAGATCATCTTTAATGTCCATCCAGCCCCGACGTGAGTAGCCAGTGCCATCCATGCCCTTTGGCAGAAGGGCTCCCCCTCTCATGAGAGCAAGCTAGCATCTCGCCTCTTGTCTCCGCCTCCGATTGTACTTCCCACGCAGTTCTGTGTGTTTAAAAGCATAGAAAGAGGATTCTCCATTTTATTTTGTTCTTCAATTCTTTTGGCCCTTCACTTCTTTCCCATACCTATCTGGATCCCCATTCCCCACCCCGAACCCCACCTTTTAAATCAGCATTTTCCAGACTGTTGCCTTTCTCCCAGTACTTTGTGAGCTTACTAGGTTTTCTTCTGTTCTTAAGATAAATGCTTTTCTCTCCCATTGTTCTTTCCGGGTTATTACTCCTCGTCTCTTGCATTTACACAGATATTGAGGATAATCAGTCACTGCCATAGCCCAACTCTGTAAGTTCTAACCTCACAGGCCCTCACTTGACATTAGTTCTCCCAGTAGAAATGAGTTTTGTCTAACTCTAAAGGTGGTGAAGTCTCGGCTCTCCCTTCCCTAACAAGAGTCTTGATATCATCACCCTTTACACCTCTGAGCCCTGGGTAGCTGCCGTCTGCTAATCCCCTCTCCTTCCTCTTTCTGCAGGAGGAAGATTGCCGTGGCCAAGCAGAATTACCGCTGTGCAGGATGTGGCATCCGGACTGACCCTGGTAAAGCTTTGTCCTCTCCCGTGCCTGTCAGAGGTAACCTCGAGGAGGTGACAGCAGATATGGGCAGAAGGACAGAAGGGCCTGGCGCAGGAGGGGAGGCCTAGGCAGGAGTTGGCAGTTGTGGGGAGTTACCTGAGGGGGCAGTTCACCACCAGAACCACAGCCTGGGGACACTGGCTCACTGCGGCCACGTTCTTAGAGACAGGATCTCATCAGCTCTGGCAGGTTTGGATTCTTGGTGGCCTCCAGGGTGGGATGCAGGAGCCATAGACCTCATCATGTGGGGTTTTTCCAGCATTAGACATTCACACAGAAGTGGCTAGGAGCCACTTGGTCCCCCCCTGCTTCACAAGGCAGGTCCCCAGCTTCTGGGTGCAAAAGTCCCATCCAGCCTTTGGCTTTCCGGGTGTCCTAGATTACATCAAGTGGCTGCGGTACTGTGAGTACCTGGGCAAGTACTTCTGCCAGTGCTGCCACGAGAATGCCCAGATGGTCGTCCCCAGCCGGATTCTGCGCAAATGGGACTTCAGCAAGTACTACATCAGCAACTTCTCCAAGGACCTGCTCCTCAAGATCTGGAATGATCCTCTCTTCAATGTGCAGGACATCAACAGCGCCCTCTATAGGAAGGTCAAGCTGCTCAGTCAGGTCCGGGTAAATGCCTGAACAAGCCACGTCACAGGTTCACACCTCTCCTAGTCTCTGATGGTGCAGTTTCCTTACTGACCCCACTTCCCGTCACATCACCATTCATGTTCTGTATACTTCCTTGTGTGTCTGTTTTCCAGCGCTGGGGTTCGAGCCCAGCACTGGTACCCGTAGTACTAGCAAGCCCGAGCTCTACCACCAAGCTGCACTTGCACAGTTCCCGGGTACTTGTCCTGCCAGAGTCTCAAACCTCCCAACAGCTCTAAGGCCGTAGGTAGCACTAGGAAGCGGAAACCGTTTCTACACTCACTGAGCACAGGAGTGGGAATTTGAATCCCCGAGTTCTGTATGGCTGCCAGTGTGTCTGAGTGAGCATACTGACCTAGGAGAAGGGTCTTCCCTCGCCAAGGGTCACTGGAAGTGAGTTGTTGAAGTTGACGTTGTTGACTGAGAGGTGTGAGGGCAGCCCAGCTCTGGCTACTCCACGCAGAGTTTATAGGCACCTGCTGGCCCTTCTAACAGATCCTTCTCTTCCCTCCACCCCTCTCTTGTCTTCAGCTGCTGCGGGTTCAGCTGTACCACATGAAGAACATGTTTAAGACCTGCCGACTGGCCAAAGAGTAAGTCTCGTGGAGGCCGGAGTCGTCTGGCCTCCTGTTGGCTCTGAGAGGAACGTGTCCCAACAGTTGGCTCTGTTTTCCATGAGGAAGGGTTTGCAGCAATGTCTCAAAGTAGTGAATGGGAAGCCGTAGCAGGAATTAGATCTGTGTCCCCTCTGAGGAGGACTGTCCAGGGCCAGACACCACTTTCCAAGCTCACTCTGCAGGGTTTAGAAAGAAAACACTTCTGTCCTTCAGGTCCATGGTGTGGGGAAGCTGGGGTAGCCTGGGATACCTGGGCTGGCTGAACGTCACCCACCCCCATGGGCTTCTCTCCTGCTGAGTAAGGATCTTTGTACTGTCATGTGCCATATGAAATGTTTATTTCCACCACTCCCCCACCCCCACTTCCTCTCATTTCCTGTAGGCTTTTGGATTCCTTTGACATAGTTCCAGGCCACCTGACGGAGGACCTCCACCTGTACTCACTGAACGACCTGATTGCAACCAAGAAGGGGGAGCTGGGGCCCCGGCTGGCCGAGCTCACCAGAGCAGGAGCTGGCCACGTCGAGAGATGCATGGTGAGGAAGCCTTGCTGTGCCATGCAGCTGAGCCTTTGCCTGGGGCTTTGTGGTGGGCCAGGGTTCTTGACATTGAGCTCCAGAAACTTGATAGGGCCAGTGTCGACACAGAGAAACCAGAGGACGTGCTGTTGGCCGAGTGAGTGAGCAGCAGGACCTCTGAAGAACCCGGGGTAGAGGAGGAAGTACTGGGGCGCTGAGGCAGGAGGACTGTCAAATCAAAAATATGAAAGAGTTAGGACGGGAGCTGATGCTGGTGTTGCCCCCGGGCAAGACTGAGCAGCCTTCCCTGGAGGGTCACCACACTGGGGAGGACCTTTGCCCGGAATCTAGACCTGGTTACAGTCAGGTTCCAAGCAGTTCGCTGGCTGTGCAAGCCCGTTTTCTTCTTTCCCAAGTGAAGGTAACACTTAGATGAACTGTCCCCTCCTCTTGAGCTGCTGAGGGCTGATGAAATGGCTTGTTTGATGGCATTTCTGTAAACTCTATTTACAAATGTAAGTTATTACCCTTCATGGTAGGATCAACTCTCTTGGAAATGATGCTTTTAGATCTGCCCATCTCAACTGCCCAGTCTGTGATCCTGTGGTGGGGTGCGGGTGTGTGGGGTGAGGGGGTGGGGGGTGCGGGGGTGGGGGGTGCGGGGGTGTGTGGGGTGCGGGGGTGTGTGGGGTGCGGGTGTGGGGGGGGTGCGGGTGTGTGTGGGGGTGCGGGTGTGTGGGGGGGGTGAGAGTGTGTGGGGGGGTGAGAGTGTGTGGGGGGGTGAGAGTGTGGGGGTGCGGGCGTGAGAGTGTGGGGGGTGCGGGCGTGTGGGGGGTGGGTGGGTGGGGTTCGGCTGTGGGGGGGGATATACTGCACTGTAACCTACCTGGAGGGTATTGTTTTAGGAAACACCCTTGACTTTACCTTTCATATTAATTACTAGTGGTACATGCTTCAAGATAACACCACTGCCCAGGCTGGGTGACAGATTTTAGGCCCCTCTTCTCAGAACCGCCCCTTCCTCCTTGCCTGTTCGCCAAGAGCTGCTCCAGTGGCAAGGGCTTCCCGAGCCTGTGTCTCACTTGTCCTTGAGTTTTGTGTGATGGTGCCCAGCCCTCATTCGGCTGTCATGCTCACAGGTCCAGCCCTAGGCTGTACCCCACAGACAGTAGACCCCTTCATCCTGCTCAGTTTTAACTGTGGTTTGCTTCTCCCTCACCGAGTCCACCCTTCTGGGCCAGGCCCTCACTCTGCTACCATCACTTCCCTCCATAGCTGTGCCAAGCCAAGGGCTTCATCTGTGAGTTCTGCCAGAATGAGGATGACGTCATCTTTCCTTTCGAGCTACATAAGTGCCGGACCTGTGAAGGTGAGGATGGTGATATTTTATTTGTGCTGAAATGTGATTTTATTTGTATGTTAATAAAGTTGCCTGGGGATCAGAGCTAAGAGCAAGCCATTTAGCAGAAGTCCGGCGGTGGTGGCACACGCCCTTAATCCAATCACATGGCAGGCAGAATCTCTGTGTGGTCAAGGACACAGCCAAGCAGTGACCTGAACTTTTAATCTCAGTACGAACCATAGAGACCTGGAGGTCTGTATAGACAGGCAGTGACGAGGAAGTCATGTGGTTGGGTTTAGAACTAGTGAGAAGGCAGAACAGAAAGGCAATAAAAAGACAGGACACAGGAAGAAGGTCTCTCTCTGAGGGGAAGGACAGCAGTGAGTGGTAAGATGAGGTGGTCTTAGCTTTTGGCTACTGCTCGATCTCTGGGCTTTTAACTCGTTATTTGGCTCTGCATTTCCTAGTTAATAAGACCGTTTAGAATTACAGCTACAGGTGAGGATGGATGCTAGCATTGAGACAAGCAAGGCTGCACACAAAGTGAATGTATTACCTGACAGTCCTCTGTTAGCAAGACTATGGGGTGAGTGACTCCACCACCACCTGAGCAGGAGCTATGGGGAGAGGTGGCTGAGGTGGTAACTTGCTTCCAGCCTGGGATAAGACAAGTCATTTTCTTCTCTCTCTTTTTCCACCTGAATAGAGTGTAAAGCGTGTTACCATAAAGCTTGTTTCAAGTCTGGAAGCTGCCCCCGGTGTGAGCGGCTGCAGGCCCGGCGGGAGTTACTGGCCAAGCAGAGCCTGGAGTCCTACCTGTCTGACTATGAAGAGGAGCCCACGGAAGCCTTGGCTGTAGAGGCCACCATCCTGGAGACCACCTGAGGAATGCACCTCAGCCCTTTGTCTGAGGGGCTGGCTAGAGGCAAACGATAGAGAACTGAGCCACACCTTCGAGGAAGGTGTGGGGCCTTTTTAAAATATATCGTCATTGTTTATGACTTGTCTGCTGTCCAGGTGTAGACAACCTTTCTTGGTTGATGGGTCCAGTCTGTTGTGACAGATAGCTGTGAGCATTGGGTGTTTCCGTCAGGACTGCCACTTGGACTGCCTCTCGTCAGGGGAACGGACAGCGAGACCCAGCTCTTCTGACATGCTTGGCCTGTTCCACAAGGCTCAGATCTGGTGACAGCCTCGGCTCAAGGATCATTCCACTCTTGACTTAGTTCCACAGCTTCTGAGCCAGGCCTTTCTCAGTCAAAGATCTTCACCTTTGCTGCTGAAACAGGAGAATGGAACTTTCCCTGTCCCAGTCCTGAAAGAGTAAGACTGCGCCCTGAGGCAGGGAAGAGAATGGGGCTGCACGGTGGTCATTCTGTCCGACTTATTAGGCATTTGGGGGCAGGTAAGAACGGAATCATTATTGTTCTAGACTCCTCAGAGACCTCGGGAGGCGAGCATGACTTCCCTGTTTCAGGTATTCCAGGCATAGGTGGACACGAGCTGGCTTGTGTCCTCTGAGGGGCCTGAAGCAAAGAACAGAACTGGGTCCTAGGCCAGGCCCATTTGTAGCCAGCACCACACAACAGTGGGGCTGCAGCTGGTGCCTGAGGAGATGTTGTTCAGATACAGGATGATGGCCGCCTCTTGGGTGTTGAGACTCTCAGCTGACTAGCTTGAGTGCAGGTGCACTCCAAGCTCAGGCAAGTCCCTCATGCCAAGCTGAGGCAAGGGTAGAAACTCCACCCACCACCTTAATGGTGGGCCCCTGACTGCGCTGTATGACTGTGTGACCACTCTGGTTCTGAGTAAAGGTATGACCCAACTCCCCTCTCCGTCCCTCCCCCCAGAGCTGGGGCCCTCCCGTTGGCTGATCTCTTGCCTTAGTTTCTTTTCTCAGAGTTGGGAGAAGCCGCCTGCCCACTTAGGAGCATTAGCGACCTCAACAGTTTGTGAATGTTTCTGTTTGCCTTTCTGCTGTTTATGCACCTAACTCCTCAGCCCCGGGGATGTGTGTTGGCTCATCTGTTTCCTATTACTAATTTTAACAGACTCCTCCATCATCACTCAATGTGCATTCTATGGCGTTTCCTAGACTAAGCCAGACACACGTTTGCTGTGGCAGCGTTGGAATTGCTGCAGCGCCTAACCTCCGTGTGAACACTGGTCAGGGTTGCATCTCAGAGCCTGGCAGTTGTGTGAACTGATGTCCACAGTGCTTTTGTTCCGGAACTGACTTCTTCCGCCCGCCTGTCTCCCTGTCTCCTTGTACTTGGTTGCTAGTAAAGTAATTGGCCCTGGCACTGCCCCCAGAAGCCAAACACAATTGCACGTGGGTTGGTGGACGCTGACAGGTTCTGAGCTGGAGGGAACAGGGGTGTCCCAGAGAGACAGAAGGGACGTTGGTGTAGCAGCCACACTGAGCTCCAGCAGAGCAAGAGGAACATGTCAGAACTGGCCCGTGGTGCGGTTCCTCCGCCTCACATTTGGGAGCTGACACTGGGCCAGATGACCAGGACTGTTCTCTCAGTTGGCGGTCACACCAAAAGCTGAGGCCAGGGGCAGTTTTGAAGGGCTGGCTAGAAACTCCCCTTCCTTCAAGGAGATTTAGGAATGATCCCTTCAAACTCAAGTGTCACTGAGTCAGACCTCGGATTCAGACTCTGACTCCAGTTCCAGTCTGTGGCTGACTTCCCGTCCAGCTGCTCACTCCAAGTCACCACACTGGAGGAGACTGCTGCCCGCACTCCCTGTCAGCACAGGCTGCAGCTGACCTCAGCAATCTCACTGACTCTTCAGTTTCCCCACCCCCACCCCTGTAGATCACATATCTTCTAGTGACCCCGAGGCTGCTGTCATCACCGTCCAAGTGCGTCTTTATTTATTCGGGAGTCGAGGAGAGGGGCAGAGGGGTGTTGTACAAGCACTTTGTCACTTAACAGTATCTGAGAGTCCCCTGCGGTGGGGATTCGGAATGCACTGAAGAGGGCTTGCTCGGAGGTGAGGTGAGGCGGAGGGAGCATCCTCTCTGTACAAAGGGAAGCATTTACTCCTGAGGTGGAAGCCCCACACTCTGCCCTTAGGAGGCTCTTACCAGCTCCCTCTGCCGAGGGTTGAGAGCTTTTGCTGAACTAACAGAAAAGGAGCAAGGTCTAAATAAAAACCTCTGTTTGTGTACAACTTGTGTTTTGAACTGGATTTTCACCTGCTGTAATTCGTGCGCATCCTAACATGGCCATCTTTAATAAACTAAGGAAATTAAGTCTTGCCCTGTATTTACCTGCCTTGATGACTGTGGAATGCCATTATGTCTCTACTGAAAAGCAACCGTGTCTGAAAATTACCCGCGTGGTTCTGTGGCGTCTCCTCCACGTGACTGTGTGTGTTAGTTGTTTCATTATTGTTGTTACGGTTGGTTTTTAAAGACAGGGTCTCACCATGTAGCCCAGACTGGTCTCAAACTTGGAATCCCCCTGCCTCTGCCTTCCTAGTGCAGGGATGATGGGTACACACTGCAGTACACTGGCTCTTTAGATGTCTCATTCCGATCTCCCACCACTGTCTAAAACCAACATTTATCTCTGCAAACCTAACCATTAGTGACTCAGATTGGAAAACTAGTTGGCTTTGACTTCCTCTGAATCGGGTCCCGTGTCTGGCTAGTCAGGCATTACCCCCTCCCCACCACCTGTCCTTTTCTTTAAATGGATCTCATTCCGTCTCCCCCCTCCCACACAAGTGCAGCTTCTCTCAGTGGTCTGGGGTCACGTCGGTTTCTTGTTCGTTCACTTTCATCAAGTATCAGGTACCCACTATATACCAATTTCTGTGGTAGCCTGTGGGGCTATAGCAGAGAGCAGAGTGGAGACAGACCCCTGCCCATAAGGAAATGAAACACTTGTGTGGTATAAATTGCATAAAATCACCAGTGTGTGTATAGTCAGCCATGTGTGCCTGCAGGTCTTGAGAGCAGTCGATTAAAATGCTGGATATGGTGACGTATACCTGTAGTCCTAGCACTTGAGGGCTTAAAAAGCCAAAGTATTGAGAAAAAAAATACAGTAAAAGCTATCACAAATTTAAGAACACACTGTAGTAATTATTTCCATTATATTAGATATCATGAGCTATATAGATTGTTTAAAATATACAAGTGATATGAATAGATTACATGCAAATACTAGGCCATTTTATATGAAAGACTTGAGCATTGGTGGATCTTGGGAGCCCTACACCCAGTCCCCCAAAGCTCTGGGGATGGCTGCAAAGGAAAAGAGCAAATGCTCTTTAAAACAAAACCAGGACACCAAATTGAGGCCAGAGAAAGGGGAAGCCCCCAAGAGTGATTCTGCAGCTCTTTTTCCCCAAGAATGCGGCTCAGAGGACGAGGACATCTCTAGGCAGGAGCTGGCATGTGTGGTTAGCCTCAGAGAGGAACGGGGGGCTAGAACCGGAAAGGACTTGTTGGTTCGTATTTTTATTTTTTTTTTTGTAGCTCACACTGGCCTCCAACTTGGGAGTTCTCCTGCCACAGCCTCCAGAGTGCTGGGTTTACGAATGTGCACCGTCACAATCAATTACAGTTTTAGATTTAAAAGGGAGTCGTGTGTAAGCGTGATTGTGGACGCAGGCGTGTGCACTCACGGCACCTGTATAGGTCAGATGACAACCTCGGGGGGTGAGTCATCCTCCTTTGTTGAGCTGGGGTCCCTGTAGTTTGTCGTGCTGCAGACCCCAGGCTAGAAGGCCCTCAGGCTCTGGGTAAATTTCCTGTCTCTGCCTCCCATCTTGGTGTAGGAGTGCTGGCTACAGATAATGCACGCCGCCACGTCCAGCTCTTTCCATGGGTTCTGGGGATCAAACTTGAGTTTGAAGCATGGTTTCCAAGGACTGAGCTTGGGCCGTCAGGCTTTGGAAGCTATTGCTATTACTTGCTGAGTAATTTCCCTATCACCCCCACCCCTCCGTTTTTTAAAGATAAGGTCTCACATCACCCAGGCTGCTTTCAAACTTGCTGGATAGCGGAGAATGACTAACTCCTGATCCGTTTGTATCTCCATCTTCCAAGTGCTGGACTCACTGGGATATGCCTCTCTTCCCAGCAATTTTAGGATTTGTATTGAGAATCAGTGCAGTAGACAAAATGTTTGTGTTACCCCTAAAATTCACATTGAAGGCTTTATCCCAACGCAATCTTCCTATAGGGCCTTTGGGAGGCAAATGGGATCATTAGAGTAAAGCCCCATGATGCGCCTTAGGAAGAATGCCAGGAGGCTGGGTAGCTCTTTCTGTAGGTGTTACAGCCCCGAGGGGAAAGGTATCCCCAGTGCAAGTGTTACAGCTCTGAAGGGAAAGCTGGCCTGGCAGCTGGGAGCCAAGGGATACTACAAAGTCACCTCACACAACAAACCTCACACAAGAGATGAATTGGGAAAGACACGAGAGGGCGAGAGGCAGCGAAGAACTGAGTGAATGGCAAGGTTTATAAAGGGTTCCTCGAGGGACGCAGCGTTTTCCAGGGTGGGGATTGATGGGATTTCAAACCCCAGAAGTGAGCTCAGACCTTTTACCCTATGCTTTCCATCCTGTGAGGGCACAGCACAAAGAACTGTAAACCAGAAAAGAGTGTCCATAGTCACCAAGACCCAACCCTGTTGGCATCCTGATCTCAGACTTCAACCTCCAGAACATTGAGAGAAATCTTGATCATGTTAGCCACCCAGTTTATGGCATTGTTTAAATAGCAGCTCAGTCTAAGCCAATGGGAAGGCCACTGAAGAGTTTTATTCAAAGAAGTGAGTGACTGGTCAAAGTGTCATCATCCTCTGCAGAGAAAAGGCAGACAGCGGGATGTTCTCCTGGGGAGAGGGCTCTAGTGAGCTCAGAGGAGGTTGTGTTGAACTGGACTAATGTATTGAGTGCCATTACCACCTCATCACTATGACCCTATACGAAGACAGAGCCGGTCTGTTCTGCTCAGGTGTGTCTTAGCATGTTTAGTCAGAGAGCAGAAGGCTGGGAAGAGCATATTTCAAAAGACAGGGCAAAGGACAGAACCTCAGGGGAGTCGGGGACGACTCGGGAAGGGCGGGGACCAAGGAAGCCCGAGACTCGTGGTTCACAGACTTTCACTTGAGCCTTCAGCTGTACTGAAGACTCACCCCCGAGAAACGGGGACACCCCAAAAGAAAGGGAACTGACCCGAGCAGCCATCCACGGCAGCATTGGCCATGCTACTTGTGTGTCCCTCTGGCCTCCACTGTGTGTAGGTGCGCCGGATCTGTTAAGGCCAGAGAGAGCGGCTGATCAGTACAGCCTCCAGGCTGAGGTAAGAGCCAACCCGACTTCCTTTCCCTTGGAACTTTTGGTTTAGAATATACACAAATAATGATTACTGCTCTTGCGCCCTGATCAACTGCAGATCCCTGCTCTACCCCTGCCCAGGACATCAGACTGCTCACTTTTAAGGTGATAGAAGCCGCCATGTGGCTCACATCTTGCCCACCTCATGAGTTTGAAGTTCTTGGCAGCAAAGATGAGGGTGGCTAGGAAGGAAACAATCTACCCAACACAAGCAAGGGGTACAGAGGACTCGGGTGTGCTGAACACTGCAGTTCTGCCTTGCCCGGTTAAGCCAAAAGAAACCATGCCGATGTCTTGAGGGAAAGGAGGCCCAGGCAGACAGAGCCCACTCTCCCTTTGGCTGGCTGTCCCTCTCCCGTGTGGTTACTGGGGTCCTATAGTCAGGGGGATTAGCTAGTTTTCCTCCCAGCTGTGTATCTGTGCAATTATTTTTAATTACGAATGTATACCTTAAAATTAATAAATCTATCACTAGTAAAACTACACTCATTTTTAATGCATTTTCCTTCTTTTATGTGTCTTTTCATTCTCAGCCTATTTTTACATGATTATAATCGTGTAAATACAGTTTTTGAGGGTAAGGCAGTGGTGGGTGAGCAAGGTCTAATGTACCCTAAGCCTGCTTTACTGTGGAGCTGGAGGTGACCTTGAGTTTCTGATCCTCCTGCCTCCACACCTTTCACGTACTGGGGTATCAGGTGGACCTCACCTGTCCAGCTTGTGTGGTGCTGAGTGTGGGAGTCCAGCTCCCACTTTTTGAAGTGTTCTTAGGAGGAGGAGGAGAGAGGGATAAGAAAATATTAGATAGAAAGAGAGACCTAGCCATCCAGAAGAAAGACAGAAACACAGGATAGCTTCGGGAGGGCCTGGATCAATACCCAATGGTCTCAAAGATTTATTCAAAAGCCTTCTTATAACATGCCAAGGAGGGAGACAAAAGACCTCCCCCTTGCAAGATCAAAGCACACGGCACAGCCAAGTGTAGACCCTTCCAAACACCTGGTAAACACGCCCATGACCAAATCATCTCCTTACGCAGCCCTGCTGGGTAAAGCAAGCTTAGATTCTCTGACCCTGAGTAAGTTCTCACTAGGAAACCTCTGTGGGCTCCCACAGCTGAGGATGAAATTTGGAACAAAGCAATGGCCCAAATGGTGGTTATTCTAGCTTGGCAATGAGACCACCATGCCAGCTAGACTCTGGGAGTGCTATGTCCTAGCCTCCGTCTCCAGACTGTCCCTCCAATTCACGATGTCAGGGGCTTCCCTTCGGATTTTTTCCACTCAAGTTGTGTTATGTGGAGTCTGCTCTATTACTGGAAATGAAGAGCCCTGGTACATACAATGAGAGGGCACAGTCATTCTTGTGCACATGCCAAGGGAGCCCTGGCATGCACCGGGAGAGGCAAGAGAGCCCTGGCACACACCGGGAGAGGGCAAAAGTAAAGGTAGTATCCGAAATCAGCCACAAATTTCAAAAATATTGACTTTGCTTATCCAACTTAAAGTGATCCAAACCTGTGTATGACCTTTCATGTATGTGTTCGTAACTGAGTGCCTGGCTGAAGTTCCTGCCTTTTAGGAATTTACTATTTAGTTATTAAGATAGGAACACATAAGTAAAAGTATTAGACATGGAGAGATCTCTGTGTCCTGGGCACTACTCTAAATTATTTATATATGGATGACTTACTAACCCTCCCAAATACCCTTTGAAGTAGACAGAATTATCATTTCTGCTGTACACAAGTAAGCAAGGTACAGAGAGTTTAAGTGACGTGCTTACCACATCCCAGCTAGCGTTAGTGGAGCCTGGATCCACACACACATGGCCTGGCTCCAAAACTCCACTCTTAACCACTGTGTTATGCCAAGATGAGTGAAAAGACCAAGTTCCAAAAGCCAGAGAAACG